GTCCCGCAGAGCCAACACCAAATGGTCCCCAAAGGAGGAGTGGGGAAACCCATCAAGCAGGTGCAGAGCCAGCAGCTCCTGGGCATGAATCCTTCCCACGCCGTTCTGCTCCCAGGGAGCAGTGATGGGATGAGAGGGGATGGCCTCACAGTGCACCCAGGGGAGGGTCAGCCTGGAGATTAGGAAAAGCTTCTCTGAAAGAGCAGTGATGTGTTGGCATGGGCTGCCCAGGGAGTTGGAGAGTCCCTGCCCCTGGAGGAGACCCAGAAGAGTGGGGATGGGGCACGTGGGGATGTGGTGGTGGGCAGGGCAGGGTGGGCTGGGCTGGGGGATCTTGGAGGTCTTTTCCATCCTCAGTGATTCTGCGATTCTACTAAGATCTACAGCAGACACCTGCTGATAAAAGGATGCCCAGGTCTCCTTCTGAGCTGGATGACATGCCAACGTCAGCACGTGGGCAGAACAGGTCGGCAGCGATCACAGAACCACAGGACCACCGAATCACAGAATGGGTTGGGTTGCGTGGGTCCTTATAGATCATAGAGACATAGGATGGTTAGGTTGGAAAGGTCCTAAATGATCACAGAGCCGTGGGACGGTCAGGTTAGGAGCGTCCTTAAAGGTCATCATAAGAAGGGGTTGCGCTGGGAGGGTCCTGAAAGATTACAGAGCCATGGAAGGGATGGGTGGGAAGGGTCCTTAAAGGTCACAGACCCACAGGATGGGTTGAGTCGGAAGAGAACTTAAAGGGCACAGAAGCACAGCACAGTGGATTGGAAGGGACCCCCCAGCCCCACCCCTGCCATGGGCTGGCTGCCCCCCAGCTCAGGCTGCCCAGGACCCACCCACAGCCTCGGGCACCTCCAGGGATGGGGCACCCACAGCTCCGGGCAGCAGTGCTGGGGCTGCACCACCCCGAGGCACAGCCGGGTGCCAGCTCCATGCTCCTCCTGCACAGAACTGCTCGGGTCAGGACCCGCTGCATTCGCTCCTCCATCCCCAGGAGTGAACTGGAAGGATGGGGAAGCTGTGATGCACCGCAGCCCTCGGAGCCAGAAGGCTGAGAGGCCGTAGGGAGCACTAAAACCTTCCCTAAAGCTCCTGGCCGTTCCATTTGTTCCACTTGTGGCAGGCGTGCCTTTTTTCTCCATCTCGTACATATGTTGTTTTTACTTTCTATCTCCAGAGACCCATAAAGGCTCTGGAAGAAGACCAAGGATTTGCATTTTCCAAGAGAGCAGCAAAAAAAAAAAAAAAAACAAAAAAAAAAACCCCAAGAAAAAACAAACCCAGAAACTAAAACACCAAAAGCCACAAGGACACATCTGAGCCACAGCAGGAAACTCCCAGAGCAGCTCCCAGCCCACGTGCACCTCAGTGCTATGGGATCTCCCTGTGAGACGGGACACGCCGCGCTCGTTAAGCTCCTTCTATTAAGCCAACAGAGAGGCTTAATAGAAAGGACAGCTGGGGAGCAGCTGAGGGGAGCCCCGTCCGCTCCAAATGCACCTCTGGGTGAGGAGAAAGGATTCAGAACAGAGCTCCAGGCACCAGGAAAGGCTCTGTGCTGCTGGCATCGTTGTTACACACAGCTCTCACCGCACCAGGGAGCACAGAGCAGTGCACACGTGTGCACATACATGTGCACATATGTAGCCACAGGGCTATAGGCACAGTGCACACACGTGTTGCTGCACACGCTGCACGTATATGTTGAACACAGAGCCATGGAATGGTTTTGAGTTGGGTTGGAAGGGTCTTTAAAGACAAAAGGGCCGTGGGTGGGTTGGGTTGGAAGGGTCCTTAAAGGTCACAGAGGCATGGAATGGTTGGGTTGGAAGGGTCCTTAAGAGCACAGAACCATAGAGTGGTTGGGTTGGAAGGGTCCTTAAAGAGCACAGAACCATGGAATGGCTGGGTTGGAAGGGTCCTTAAAGGTCACAGTGACATAGTATGGGTTGGAGGAGTCCTTAAAGATCATAGAGCCATGGAATGGTTGGGTTGGAAGGGTCCTTAAAGGTCATAGAGGTATGGAATGAGTTGGGTTGGAAGCGTTCTTACAGATCACAGAAAACAGAATGATTGGGTTCAAAATGTCCTTAAAGATCACAGAGCCATGGATTGGTTAGGTTGGAAGAGTCTTTAAAGATCACTGTGACACAGCACACATTGGGTTGGAAGGGTCCTCAAAGATCACAGAGCCTTGGAATGGTTGGGTTGGGAGGGTCCTTAAAGGTCACAGAGCCTTGGAATGATTCAGTTGGGAGGGTCCTTAAAGACTGTAGAGCCATGGAATGGTTGGGTTGGAAGGGTCCTTACAGATTGTAGAGCCATGGAATGGTTGGGTTGGAAGGGTCCTTACAGATTGTAGAGCCATGGAATGGTTGGGTCTTTAAGCGACAGGTGCAGCTGATGCTCTGAGAACAACGTGGACCCAGAACCAACCCAAAGGGAGCTGGATGCAGCACAGCTCCAGAGGCAAGAAGGAAATATTCAGCAGAAGTGGAAGGTGGGAGGAGGGCTCCTGGGGATGCATCGTGGAGAACCCAGCATCCCAGGCACAGTGCACAGAAGCTAATAGGGGAGAGGGGGAAAATTAAAGGCAATGGGACACGAGCTCCAAAACTGCATTTATTGAGAGATGGAGAACTGGCAGAAGGATGGAAAAAACACCCACAGCACCAAGGGGCTGATGAGCTTTTAGACAAGCGTGGAACGTTTCTCACGCAGTGGTGAATGGAGCCGTGCTGCCTGCTTGGAGGGGCTGAGAGCTCAGTGCTGCCAGCAGAGCTCAGAGAACCACGGTGTCCACCTCGAGGTCTGCAGATGAGCATCGTTAACAACGCTCGTGTTTGCTGCAGCAACAGCCGGGGCAGCGGGCAGAAGCACTGCAGCAGACCCAAGGCAGCGGGGGATGCGTGCAGCCTTGAGCCTGGGCTCGTGGCTCCGTGGGACCGCAGGGGGCACAGAAAGAGGGCATGCAGAATGCCCTGGGAGCACAGAAAGCACTGAGGTCCCCCCAGCTCCACGTGAAGTGACCTATGACTTTAGGGACGGCTCCATGTGAGGGTCCCCTTCGATCCCCACCAGGTGAGAACCTCAGCAAAGCTGAGGGTGGAAGCAGCCGCTTCTGCAGCCTGCAGAATGGGACTGTGCAAAAACGATGGTGTGGATGGAGAAGCTGGGCAGAAATCAGCGATGGGACGAGAGGGAATGGCCTCAAGGGGTGGCAGGGGGGGTTCAGGTTGGATGTTAGGAGAAATTTCTTCTCTGAAAGGGCTGCCAGGTGCCCGGAGAGGTGGCGGAGTCACCGTCTGTTGTGCTGTTGTACTGCAGGACACGGTTTAGTGGGGAAATATTGGTGGTGGGTGGGCAGTTTGACTGGATGATCTTGGAGGACTTTTCCAACCATGATGATTCTGTGCAATTAAACTTGCTGCTGGATGGTGCTCTCCAATTCATGGGCAGGTACACAGTGGGAAAAAAAAACAAAACACAGCTTTAACCTAAAAAGTATAAAGCACTGCGCAAGGGAATCGGACACCGCAGCCCCACCTGACCAGCTCTGAAGGGTTCCTCAGGTTCAGGCAACCCCACAGGTCTCAGTGCAGGCCTACAGCTGGTGGTACACAGCTCCCGCTCCCTGGGAGGAGAGCTCCTCCTGCACGGCCCAAAAGTTCTCACAAGGTGACATTTGTGACACGATGAAACTCTTCTGTACCAACACCACGAGGGAAAAAATCACAGAAGGGCAGCAAAGGTGCTGCAATCATAGAGCGATGCATGGAACCACAGGATGGGCGGCTTGGAAGGGACCTTAAAGGTCATGGAGAACAGAAGGGTTGGTTGGAAGGGTCTTTAAAGGTCGTAGAGCTGTGGAATAGGTTGCTGGGTTTGAAGGGTCCTTAAAGGTCGTAGAGAACAGAATGGTTGGGTTGGAAGGGTCCTTAAAGGTCATAGAGCTGTGAATCTTTAAGGTTCTTTAAAGATCATAGGGTTATGAGATGGCTGGGGTGGAAGGGTCCTTAAAGATTACAGAACCATGGAATGGTTGGGTTGGAAGGGTCCTTAAAGATCACAGATCATAGAGCCATGGAATGGCTGTCTTGAAATGGTTCTAAGGAGATCACAGATCCATAGAATGGTTGGGTTGGGTTGGGTTGGAAAGGTCTTTACAGATCACACAACCACAACACAGTTGGGTTGGATTGGAAGGGTCCTTACAGATCACACAACCACAACACAGTTGGGTTGGATTGGAAGGGTCCTTACAGATCACACAACCACAACACAGTGGGTTGGAAGGACCCCCCAGCCCCACCCCTGCCATGGGCTGGCTGCCCCGCAGCTCAGGCTGCCCAGAACCCACCCACAGCCTGGGGCACCTCCAGGGATGGGGCACCCACAGCTCCGGGCAGCAGCGCTGGGCCTCATCACCTTCGTGACAAATTTCTTTAGGGGAAGGCAGCACTCCTGGAGGCCTTGAAATCGCCTGCTCTGCCTCCAGCCCAGTGCAAGAACTCCCAGTGAGGCACACAGCCAGAATCTAACTGGGTGTGAGAGGACAAGGGCCTGGAGGAGGACTGCAGGAACAGAAGGACAGCAGACATGATCCGAAATGACCCGAACACCCCAGTGCAGCAGAGGACGGAACAGTTACACTTTGTGAGAGGGAGACAAAACAAATCCACAAAAGAAACACACAAGGGCAAAATCCAGCATCGTGCATCGCCCAAAACGCCAGACCAAAACCAGGGGGGCACAGAAGGACACCCCTGAAGGCCTCACCACCACTGCAATGTCTCAGAGCAGAGCTGCACTCCTTCACCCTGTGTTTGGGATTGCATTCTGGCTGCAAACAGGACATCGCCAACGGGCTCTGATGGTGCTCAGCAGGTCCCCGCAGCACCGCCCCTCTTCCTGCCCCAAACCCAACGTGTGGAGGAAGGAAAGCACGGAGCAAACGGTGAGATTTCTGCCACCCCTCCCCACATACATACTGCTTCATGGCTATCAGCTTGGAGTCCATGCTCTCCTGCTTTCCTTTCATCACCTGGATGTCGGTCAGCAGCTTGGTGACGTTGTCTTGCCGCACCTTGATGTCCTCGTTCTTTATGCTGGACACCTGGGGCAGAAAGGCAGACATCAGCAATGCCTCCTTGCTACAAAACGGCTCATACTGCAAAATCCCTCTCCCCTCTTCACATCTCCACATCCACAGCCGGGCACATTGCACCGAGGGATGAAAACCAACCACCGACAATGCAAACATTCTGCAGGGAAATCACTGCTCACAAACACCAGACTCTATCGCAGCCTAAAAGTAACACGCCTTGGGAAGCACTCGGGTGAAACTGAAGGTCTGCACAAGAGCTGTTTGCAGGGTGCAGCCCTCCAGGTGGGTGAGACGTGTCTGTCTATGACAACCCTAAAGCTGACACCAGCCGTGAAGTTGGGAGTGCAGTCATTCACACTGCAAGCAGGGACCAACATCCCTGTGTGCCTGCAAAGTCTCCGCTGCAACGCAGCCAAAGAACAGCGGCCTCAGCAATTAAGAAGTCATCAGCTGGCTTGGGAAGGAAAGCTGGGACAGCAGGGGCACCGCCAGAGCCGCTGAGGAGCAAACACTGAGCACAGGGATCTGTTTTTCTGATGAAACCCTCAGGAGATGCTGAGATGCACAAAGATCTGCCGCGCTGGGGCTGATGTGTCAGCCTGCCCACTGCTGCTCCATGTGAGCCGTGGGTTAGAATGATGGAAATACACCTCTCCAGCCCACACGTCAGCACTGGGAAATCGACCTGGAAGGTCCTTCCGTGTCTCTGGAGCTGTCGGTGCCCAGCAGGGCCTTCAGGACACAGCTGGTGGCAGTTCTGCAGTTTGGGAAACAGGGGCAGCTGCAAGGCATAGCCGTGAGCCCAAAGGGAAATGCCCAAACCCGTGCTTGGGACACACAATGCCAACACGTCGTTAACAGTGCAGGCACTCATCCTTCCTTTTCCTCCGTGTGCAGACAGCATTATCCTTCAAAGCCCTTTAAGCAAGGACAGCAGCTCAGCCTGTGGCTGCTTGCCCTCCTGCCGCAAGGTCTGTTCCTCTGCAGCCCCTTCAGACACAGCAAGCTTCCCTCTGCCAAGCCAACCCAAGCAGGCGCTGCTTGTCTGGAGGAAATGGAAACGAGGACTGCTCTCACTGCTGACCCCACAGTCTGGTCTGCAGGGCAGCACGCTGGTGGGAGACAGCGGGGGACCCCCACAATGAACCCAACGCTGACATCAGTGAGAAAAGGTCCCCAAACCAAAGGGAAGAGCTCCAGGACAGGAATGCAGCCGAGCAGCACTGCAGCTCGCAGCCGGGCAGCAAGAAGAGCTGCTGGCAGCGTAAAGCAATGATGCTGGGGACCAGCAGCCCGTGCAGCACCTGATGCTGGTTCAGCAGCTCACCCAGAGCCTGAGCCTGTCCCGAGGGACCTGCAGCACACACTTACGCTGGTGACTTTCCTCTTGATGTTCTCCAGGAGGTGCTCCTGGCCACGGATGAAGTAGGGGTGCTGGAACTCAGTGTCGTCCTTCTCTGGCTTCACCAGCCCTCCCTGCTCGATGTGCACGACCTTCCGGAAGCCATCTGAAAACCAAACAGGGGAAGGCTTGAAGGTTAAACGTGGGTTCAGAAAGCAGAGGGGAGCACAGGGCGCCCTCATCTGCAGTAGTGTCACCGCCGTGCTCCTTTCAAACAGATCTCACCCCAAAAACGTAATGTGGAACACAAAGCTCCGCTCTCCCCAAACCCAGTTCTGCTGCTGGCAGCACAGGTCAGCACGAGGAAAGGCTGAAACTGCTGGCACTGAAGGGGGAGCTGAAATCAACCTTCCTGCCCCCCAGTCGCAGCCCCAGGTCTGCAGGAAACCACCCAGCAGCACCCAGCATTCAGCACACGCTCCCTCCCAGCCCCTGAGCTCATCACCGCTTCTGTTTACTGGGGGCACTTCTGAGAGCCATCAGCTATGTGCTAAATCTTCCCTCCTCCAACTTCAAACCATTCCCTTGTCCTGCTGCCATCTCCCCTTCCCAAGAGCTGACTCCCCTCCTGTCTGTAGGCTCCCTTGAGGTGCTGAAGGCTGCAATGATTCACCCCGCAGCTTCTCTTCTCCATGCTGAACGAGCCCAGCTCCCCCAGCCTGTCTTTGTACGGAGGTGCTGCAGCCCTGCTCATCTCTGTGGCTCCTCTGGCCCCTCTCCAGCAGCTCCCTGTCCTTCTTGTCCTGGGGGCTCCAGCCCTGGACGCAGTGCTGCAGACGGGGCCTCACGAGAGCAGAGCAGAGAGGGACGATCACCTCCCTGTCCCTGCTGCCACCCCTCTGCCGATGGAGCCCAGGATCCCATTTGCTCTCCGAGCTGCAGGAGCACACTGCTGCCTCACGTTCAGTTTTTCGTCCTCCAGGACCCCCAGCTCCTTCTCTGCAGGGCTGCTCTCCAGGCCCACTCCTTCCAGTCTGTATGGATGCCTGGGATTCCTCCGGCCCCAGTGCCAAACCTCACACTTTGCTGTGCTG